ACATAAGATATGGAAGTTCATGTATCATATAACTTTTATATCATAGCATAGTATAACTTGTATCATAGCATAATCCGTCACATAACATATCACGCATCATAGACCATAACACCACAGAATATGACACGTAAATAGGTCATAAGGTACGTGTCATTCATACAACATACTTGACTAAGCCTGTGGGCGTTCATTAGTAGAATCACTTACTTGGTTGACCTAAGTTGAAGTCACTATGCTCCCCTGATGCTAGCTTAAAACTACTTTTTGAAATCTAATTTCACGTTCTATAGTCAAAATTTAGGATTTCATTATGGAAATTGGCTATCTAATTGCATAAGATAATCCAAACTTGGCTTCAAATAATTTAAATCAACTAAACAGTAGCTATACTAACCTCAGTTCTTTGGAAGTATCAAAAAATGGCTTTAGAAGGGTTGAAAATGGTTGACAGTGGTCCGAAAATGTTAAACCTGAGTCAAAATGAGCCAAGAAGCCAACCTAGAGACGCTAGAGCATAGATTCTCCAATTAGTTCCGGATCCCCAAAGTAGGATAAAAATAGAGTAGCTGTTGTGACTCAGTAAACTGAAGAACCGCTCTTTTATATTAGCGCCCTAACTCCTACTTTTTCAATCTAATCGATGTGGGACAGTTTATTTATTAAATTTTTTTTGTTGTTACGTCATGCACATCTAAAAGAAATTTTCATCCCGAAAGTACCTTAAGCTTGGAACAATTTAGGGTACTTCTACTTCATCTCATCCTCCCATTCTCACGTGCTTTTTTACGCTTGGTAGTTTTGTCATAGTTCCTTGACAAAGATTATTTTGCTCCTTCCATAAACATGACCCTTTCGATGAGATCAGTAGCCACTCTTTAACTAATTTAAATTATTTGGAGACAAGTTTGGATTATCTTATGCAATAGAATTCTAAATTTTGATTGTGGAACTTCTTAGGTGGAATTAGATTTTATAGATCGGTTTTAAGGTAGCATCAAGGGAGTATAATGACTTTAGCTTAGGCGAACCAAGTAAGTGGTTCTACTGTTAGACGCCCATGACTTGGTTAGATGACTTGTATGTTGTATGAATGACATGTACCACATGACCTTTGTTCATGTAATATTTTGAGATGCTATGGTGTATGATGTACGATATGTCATGTGATGATCTAAGCTATGATAGGAATCATAATATGATAGGAACTATGTTATGCTATGAATGTTATATGATACAAGAACCTTCATATGTTATATCGCATATATTATGTTGCATGTTCACACTATGAAACATTGATCTGCCATGTATGTTAACAATGGAAGATATGTCAAGTATATTTATGCATGTCTCATTGGAACATTATGTCGTGAAAAGAAATGGAGGTATGACTTGCATCATAAGTATGTACCATGATTTGATACTATGAGATTTCATACATTTTGTATGTCACGTGCATCGAGATGCTTCTCCACACTATGATAGAATATGGGTTTCTTCTCTTTCGTGGCTTCTGGTAGCGTGAGCGTACGCTAGCTCGTAGTCAGGCCTAGGAGTACTATACGAGCCCGCCTGATGAGTCCATGTGCGCATGCGTGGGTTTTGTGTAGAGAATACTACACATCCAACACTATTCGGATTGAAAAGTGGAGACTAAGACCAAGTTATTTTATGAAAAGATAGGTCTCATCATGATTGCATTTTTCAACCCCAACAGTAGGACTACTTACTGAGTATTCAGCCACAAGCTATTTTTTTTAGGTAAAAATAAGACACTAATGCATGAATAAGAGTGTTGTGGAGGCCATGAAAGCGAAGGTAGGGTAGTCACATTTGCATTTGATATACTAGCCCATAGATTAGATCAGAGCATTGCATTATTTTAAATTCTTGTTATTTCGATTTCGTAGTTTGTTGACATCATTGTTGGTTTAAATAATTTTTTATTAATCGTTAAGTCAATGACAACATTTTAGTAAATTGTTTTAAAGGGTTTCTGCGGTTAGTAACCATGACATACAAACTTAAACGTCTAATTTGAAAATGTTATGATATTGATAACGATAATTATATGCTTGAACTAACTCTAGTACATGTGGTACAACTGTTCTGGTTCAGTAAGGTTGCAGAAGGAACTTTATGGACTTCTTCCTTCACCAATGTCCGATGGAATCAGAGTCATTCCTCCACCATATGGTACAGACACAGCTTGGTTCGGGGCAAGGCTTATTAGCAATGTAAGTTCACTGCTAATTATCTCATTTCTTTCCTTTCCAACGAACCTTTTGGGCTGTTTCTTAGGTTAACTGTGTTAGATGAACACGACTCCTCTACAATGGTATGATATTGTCCACTTTGAGCATAAGCTCTTATGGCTTTGCTTCGGACTTCCCCAAAAGACCTCATACCAATCGAGATAGTATTCTTTGAGTATAAACCCATGATCATTTCCTAAATTAGCCGATGTGGGACTTTTATCCAACAACTCCCCTTGAACAAAGTAAGCCTCCCCTTAATCGAGGTTCGACTCCTTTTGAAGTCTTCAAACAAAGTACACCCTTTGTTTGATATTTTAGTCACTTTTTGACAATGCCTCGAGGCTCACAATACTTTGTTCGACATTTGAGAATTCTCTTGACATGACTAAATTTAGGGCTTGACTCTGATATCATGTTAGATGAACCGACTCTCCACAAGGTTTGATATTATCCACTTTGAGAATAAGCTCTCATGGCTTTGCTTTGGGCTTCCCAAAAGGCCTCATACCAATAGAGATAGTATCCCTTACTTATAAACCCATGATTATTCCCTAAATTAGCCGATGTGGTACTTTCATCCAATAAACTGGAGAAAATATCCTCTAAAACAACACTTTCCTCTCTAACTTTAACCCACAGCTAACGTTTTAGGGAGGAAAAATCAATTCATACCTCTAAACTTTAGGTAAGGCTAAAAATTAATAACAATACTCTTAAAGTTTGTGCTTTATCTAAAAAATACTCTTCAGAAGTTTTAGTATTGCCCTTAAACTTAATCTAAAAATTACCTTTACCGTTAGTTTTGGTTAGAGACTTTTAGTATTTTGTTTCAAAAATATCTTTAACTTTTAATAGTGTTTCAAAAGCACCGTTAAATTTTAAAAAGTTTTATTAATACCCTTCTACTTTTTAAAAAGTTCAAAATTTTTAAAAATAGTATTAACACCTTTTACCTTTATAAAAAAAAGTTTAAAAAAGTTATCACATTCGATATATAGATGAAAATATCTATCGATACCTTATAGATTATCTCGAAACTTTTAAATGTTACTTTTGAAAGTTAAGTATTTTTGAAACGGGATACTACTGGTAAATGTATTTTTGAATTTTTAAAAAATGTTTAAAGTGTTTTTGCATTTTTTAAAAAAGTTTAAGGTATTAATAAAACTTTTGAAAACTTATTTTTGAAACAAAATATTCACGGTTTTCATCTGAAACTTCTGAAACTAATGGTAATGGTATTTTTGAACTCTTTTGAAAGTTCAAAGATATTTTTGAGTTTTTTTTGGAAGTTAAAGGATATTTTTGAGACTTTGAAAGTGGAAGAGAAAAGTATTTTTTTTAGACCAAGCGCAAAGTAACTAAACTTTGAAAGTTGTAATCCTAAATCTTTTATTTTATTTTATTATGATTTTAGGAGAACAATAAATTTATATTAAATGTTTAAAGTTGATATGAACTCCCAAAAATCTAAATTGATGATTTGTATAATTTGACTAAGTCACGATTTTTATATGTTACAAAGACATAGGACTAATATTTTTTTTATATGGTTTTGAATGATTTATGTTGGTACATAGCTAAGTACCTTCCCTAGTCATTGGTGTATTACGAAGAAGCAATTCCGACGAAAGTCCAAACTCAACCTCCTTTGGTGAGCACTGTTCGTGTCAAGTTGTTTATTCGGTACCGAAAGTCCGTTGATAGAGCTCAAGGTATCGATGAAGTAAAAATGTAGAGTGTATATACTTCTCCTTGTAGTAATACAAGTGACTTTGGTTGATGATAATAAATGAAATATGTAGGAGTGTAATAAGATATCTGTTTTGTTTGTGTTAGGGGTTACTTTATTATCAATTTATCAAAGAACAAATCAAATGATATATCATTTGTCAATTAACTTGTAATTCATATCCTTTCTCATGTATTGTATACAACCTTTAGTGGGTTTGATGTTTATGGTGATATATAAGGATCTCTTGTAAATGCATTTTTTTTTGCAGGCATCCTTGAATTTGCATCTCGTACTAGTTATATCGTATCTTTTCGATTATATTTAGATGATTAGAGATGTCTATAGGGTTGAGTGGGACAAAGTTTTTGGAAAAAAAAAAAAAAGAGAAACAAGGAATAATAACAGTTACCAAATGGCAACGCTATCGCTATGAACTCAAGTTTGAGATCCAAAATGATATGGCTAACAATGAGTACTTGTTTTGTTATGTGGATTAAACGTTCCCACACGTGTGTAGCAGCCAACGACTAGTCCATACGCTTATGGGACTAAGTTGAGATGGATACTTGCACTAGCGCTCTATTAATTACATTGGAATGAGTAGAAAAAGTGTCATGTTTGTTTTTGTCATAATCTATGATGCTTAGAGTATTTGACTTTATTGAATTTGGGATTTTTTGAATTTTTTAAATTCATCGATGTCTAGTTCTTCGGCTTTAGCTAGAGAGTAGTATTAGTAGTTGAAAATTTACATTCCAATGAGTACATATAACATCTTAAAAGTCTATACAATCAAAAGGATTTTAGTTGGGTTTAAAGGATTTCGAGACAAATATTCTCTTATCATAGGACGATAGTTTGCGGTGGGCAATGCAATGATTTAATTGAGTAGTTGAAATTTCCCCAATTTCTAACAATTTATGTATGAATTGAATCGGGTTGTTCACCATTTAGATCAATGCTTTGAACATTTTTCGTCACCATTCAAGTCGATGCTTTGAATGCTCTAAACGACTTGAATCGGGTCGTTCACCAAATTGGAAAGATATAGAAAAGATTAACATGATTCCTATGCAAGGATGACTCAGATTGTTGTATGAACAACACGTGCCTTGTGACTTTACACGTGTCGTATTTTATGATTGGATGACGTGTACTCTCTTGCGTTTATGCTATATTTATGCTATGTTATTTTATACTATGTTACGCTATGCTATGATGTTTTATAAAAGACGATGTAGCTAAAATGATACCTCTCCTAGTAAGATGTGGTTCGAGGATAACTCAAGGTAGAAGCTAGTAGACATAGTAGACATGTGACACTCAAGTAAAGGAGGGATACATGAATGAACCGAGATCAAATCCAAATGAGAGTAATCTTGAGGAAAGAATGGCTAAGAAAGATTTAAAAAAATTGAAAGTCACTACTTATACTAACAAGGTACACCTTGTTTTCCAATGATTAAATCATAGAACCTCCATAGTTAAGCGTGCTTTGCTCGACTCAAATCTATATTGGGTGACCTTTTGGATAAAACATACTAGAATGACTCGTATTAGTTTGTGAGAATAGTTTTTACTCTTAGCAGTGAGGAGTAAGTAACGTGGTCATAGGAAAATGTCGAGACCATCCGGTGCAGAATTTAGATTCGAAGATAGGTATCCAAAGCATGGGCACAAACCCTAAAAATATGTTACAATGACAATTAATTATTCCCCACACAAAAATGGGTCTTCGCATGGAACCAAAATCCGTCTGGATCGCAGGATTTGAAATCATTCCATTCCAGGAGGACATGGAGGAATCAGGGCCAGCTTTCAAGAATCTTCGCAGCAGAGAGTATGAAGGTCACAAGAAGGTCTTTATCTTATCCCTTGATTAGATACTTTCTATGGCGATTTCATTCTACGTTTCAATATTAAATTAATCTTTTCTTGTAACGATGAAAGGTATGTTGACTATGGAAATTTGGAGGAAAATGTCAACGAAAAAACTGGTGGAAGGTTTCTTTGAAAGAAAAAATAGTAGAAGTAAAAGGAGAGAGGGAGAGAGATTTGCTGAAGACTAGATGTTTTATTTCTCTTCAGTTGAATTCTTTAAATAACAAATCTAATTACAAAAATAGAAAAAACTAATTACAAAAAATAGAAAAGTGGGAGAAGACTTCGCCCAAGTTCGGCAGCTAGAATTATGCTCTTCCATTGACATGAATTCAGAAGTTTTAAGACGTCAAAACAACCTAACTGAATAAGGAACATAACTTTTATTTAACAATCTCCTCCTAAAAGTTGTGCTATATCTACCTTATTATTTGAACTCCGATCTTTGAGCGTAGTTCTTCAAATTTTACCCGCGTTAGGGACTTGGTGAAAATGTCTCCAAGTTGTTTCTCTGTTCGGATGAAATCAATCTTGATGAGCCCTCGATCTGCACATTCTCGAATGTAGTGGAATCTGATTTCAATGTGCTTGCTCCGGTCGTGCAAAACTGGATTTTTGATCAGGGAGATCGTAGCTTTGTTGTCTACGTATAGCATTGGTGGATCGCTTTCTCTCCCGATGAGTTCTTCCATTAGTCGCGCAAGCCAGACCCCTTGTGTTGCTGCCATCGAAGCGGCGATGTATTCTGCTTCGCAGGAAGACAAAGCAACTACCTTCTGTTTTGTTGATTGCCAGCAGATCGCGCCGCCTGAGAGGAAGTAGATCATTCCGCTGGTGCTCTTACGATCATCAATGTCACCGGCCATGTCACTATCACTGTAGCCGACCAGCTTGAGTTTCTCCTTTCCTCTCCCTGCGCAGTATCTTACACCTCAGCCTCTGGTTCTGGCTACATAGCGCAGGATGCGCTTGACAGCCACTGGATGCTTCTCCCTAGGTGCTTCCATAAACCTTCTCACATATCCAATAGAATAAGCGAGATCAGAACGATAGTTTACCAAATAGCGCAGACTCACGACAATGTTGCGGTAATTGGTGGAGTCGACTGCCGTCGTAGTGCCGGCCTTCCTTAGTTGGAGCCGGGCCTCCATTGGCATTCTTGTAGAATTACTGTCCACAAGCCCAGTTGTGTCCAGCAGCTTCTTCGCGTATGCACTTTGGCAGATGGAGATGCCGGTAGAGTTCTGTTGTACTTCGATGCCGAGGTAGTAGCTGAGCACGCCGAGATCGCTCATCTCGAAGTTCTTTGACATCTCCTTCTTGAACTTTCCGAGGACTTCCACGTCGCCTCCAGTAATTATAAGGTCGTCGACGTACACTCCCACGATCAGTCGCTGCTTGCCATGGCCATGCATGTACATGCCATGCTCAGTGGCACATCGCTTGAATTTTAGTGACAGTAGGGTACTGTCGAGCTTCGCGTTCCAGGCTCGTGGGGCTTGTCGAAGCCCGTAGAGTGCTTTGTGCAAACGCAGTACCTTATCGAGGTTGTCGTTGTCCAGGAAGCCAGGTGGTTGTTGGACATAGACGGTCTCCTTCAGCTCTCCGTTAAGGAAAGCAGACTTCACGACCATATGGTGAACCTCCCAAGAGTAATGTGCCGCAATTGCCAGCAAGAGACGGATGAATTCTAACCTTTCCACTGGTGCAAATATCTCTTCGAAGTCACTCCTTGCTTCTGGACGTAGCCCTTCGCCACCAGACGGGCCTTGTGGTTCTTCACAACTTCTCCTTTTTCGTTGCGCTTCAGTTTGGTGACCCATTTGAGCCCTATGGCTCGGTTTCCCGACGACATATCCTCCAGACTCCACGTCTGGTTCTCGGTGATGGATGTCATCTTCTCTTGCATTGCCTTCACCCAGCATGGGTTCTTTTCTACTTCGCCGAAGGTGTTCGGTTCATCTGCACTAATGGCATGCAGTTCAGCCACTTCTTCGAGCTTGCGCGCTGCCAGTCCAGATGGTTCCCCTCCTCCCACTAGGTCGTCCATCCTCCGGTACCTGGCCTCCAGATCAGCATCGTGATCGGCATCCAACGTCGAATCTGCAGTCCGTGGTGTTACGAATTCCACTGGTTCAGGGGTTGGACCTGCTGGTGGCAGTGACGGCTCCTGATGCTGGGCTCCTCATTCTTCCGGCTTGGTGACGTGGTACTCCACCGTGAATTGATTTGGATTATGGTCTACCTCGATCACGTCATTCCACTGCCAGAAGGTGCTTTCGTCGAAGACAACGTTGCGAGACACGTGAGCTCGCTCCCCTACAGGATCATAGAGTCTGTACGCCTTGCTCCCGGGCTCATAGCCGATGAAGATGACCTTCAGCCCCCTGGGATCGAGCTTGGCGAGGTGGGGACGTGTTGCCTTCATGTATGCGATGCAGTCGAACATGCGGAAATCATGTACTGCTGGCTTTTTGTTGTACCAGGCCTCATATGGCGTCTTCCCGTCAAGGCTTCGGGTTGGTGATCGATTGAGGAGATAGACGGCCGTCATTATCGCCTCTCCCCAGAATCTCCCAGGCATCCTGGCCGTCACCAGCAATGACCTCGCTGTCCCGATGATGGTTTGATTTTGGCGCTCCACCACTCCGTTCTGTTGGGGGGAGTAGGGCGCCGTTAGGTGCCGTTGTATGCCGATCTCGTCACAGTACTTACCGAAACTTGCCGAGGTGAATTCTCCGCCTAGGTCTGTGCGCAGCACTCGCATCTTCTTCTCACATTTGGCCTCCGCTCACGCTTTAATGCGCTTAACCGCCTCTGCCGCCTCACTTTTCGCTTGCAGCAGGGTTAGCCACATGAAGCGGCTTTTGTCATCGACTATCAGGAGGAAGAGGCTCTTACCACCTGGGGTCGCCGGCTTGATGGGCCCACAAATATCGCCATGTACAAGCTCCAACGGCTCATCGGCGCGGTAGGATGTTCGAGATGGAAAGGGTGTGCGCCTCTGTTTGCTGATGAGGCACCCGTCGCACAGCTTGTTCACGTCTTTGATTGTCGGCAAACCATGCACCAACTCCTTCTGTAGCTTTTCTAGAGCAAGAAAGTTTAAGTGCCCGTATCTTGCGTGCCACCTTCAAGATACCTTTTCGGTCTTGGCCGAGAGGCTGACGGGTTGCTCTATCTCTAACTCTAGGATGTAAAGACGGTTTGTCGTGCGCCGAACCTGCATGAGCAGCCGTCGTTGATTATCGCAGATTTTGAGGAGTCCGCGCTCGATGGAAATGAAGCAGCCTGTCTCATCGAGTTGACCCAGGCTCACAAGGTTAGCTTGAGCCTCAAGATGAAGTAGACGTCGGTCAGCTTGCGGTGCTCGCTTCCCTTGCTGACGAACAGGATGGTGCCACGCCCTTCGATCTTGACGACGGAGCCGTCGCCGAATTTCACTGTCCCACGAATCCCCGAGTCGAGCTTGGAGAACGCACATCTAGCCCCGGTCATATAGTTTGTTGCCCCTATGTCGAGGATTCATCGCCAGTGCTCGTGTTGCTCATCCCTCTCGCCGATCTGAGCGAACACTCGCTCCTCCTCCAGTAAAATTGGCTCCCCAGCTGGTGCCGCCTTTGCTACGCCCAGCTGAAGCTCTTTCTCGGATTCGACGTCGCCGTCGATTACCTTGTTCTTGAACTTGCTCCAGCAATTCTTGCTCAGGTGTCCTCTCTTACCATAGTTCGAGCACTAGATCGGCCTACCATTGGTCGACTCCTTCTTTTGATCCCCCCCCCCCCCCNCCCCCCCCCCCCCATCTTTCCCGCGCGTGTGACCGTGGGACTTCCATGGCTTCTTACCACCTTTGCGGCTTGAGGAGGGTCCATTGCTCTCGTCGGTGTTGTTGCAGAGTTTTAGGTCGTTCACATCAAGCAATGTCGACAGCTGAAGCGGTATTTTTCTTCCGCGACTTGCTCGAGGAGATCGGGTTCGCCGTCCTTAAAGCGGATCTTCGAGAGCTCCTTCCGCAGCTGCTCGATGTTGGATTCCTGCACACGCTGTACATCGACCCGATGGGATTTGATTCCCTCTCAGGCCGATTGGGCGGTACGCTTGGTGGAAAGAGACGCCAACATCTCTGGGGGCACAAACCGTAAAAATATGGCGGCGAACGCCAGCCGATCCTCCCGGTACTCGATCGTTTCTCCCTCCTCTGGCTCGATAGCATGCCATAACCCTTGCACTTGTACCACGCGCATCAACAAGGCTCACTCGTTGTAGTTGGACCTTGTTAACATCGGGTACTGAACGGTGGCGGCGGTCGTTGTCTCTCTTATCACTCGCTCAACAACAACTCGACGCCCGTCATCACGGCGTCGACCTCTCTGTGGCGGTGATGGAGATGCTAGCACACGGCGGCGGCGTGGAGGAGTGATGAGCCTACCCGGGAAGGACCCCAACGATGTGTGTGTTTTCACGCTTTGCATTTTCTTCTACTCAAACCTGAGACCTGTGTGTTGTTAGATCGACACTCTAACAACTTGAGCTATTCAACTTGACTGTTGATAAGATTGGCTCCTCGGATATACCACCGATGGCTTCAACCTGGCTCTGATACCACTTGTTGACTCTGGCAATCAGGAGGAAAATGTCGACGAAAAAACTGGCAAAAGTTTCTTCGAAAGAAACAATAGCAGAACTAAAAGGAGAGAGGGAGAGAGATTTGCGGAAGACTTCATGTTTATTCTTTAACAAAAAACTAATTACAAAAAATAGAAAATTGGGCAAAAGACTTTGCCCAAGTTGGCAGCTATAATTACGCTATTCCATTTGCGTGAATTCAGAAGTTTTGAAACGTCAAAACAACCTAACTGAATAAGGAACATAGCTTTTATTTAACAAGGTACACTCTTGGCATGGAATTGCACGGCCATGAAGCTTGCTTCCGGTTCTGTCGAACAAACTGCTCGAGTTTCGCATATTGAGCATCACGAACATGTATGTTTTCCTTTTGCGCCGGGTTTTATAAGTTCTTTGTTTCTCCTGTGGAATCTTGTTCTCAAATTGCCACACTGATAGTGTAGATCAGCTATGCTGGGACCATAGACATTCTGATCTTATAGCGACTGTGTCTGGAGACAAGACTGTTCGTCTATGGGATGCTCGTAGTAAGTGAAACTGAGATTTTAGAAGTAACTTATCCAATTGAAGTTTAAAATATGGATCGTCATTTTTCATTTTGTTCCGTGGATGGGAAATGCTCACAGCAAGATGATCTCAGTCGGGAAAATATCAATATCACCTACAAACCTGATGGCACGCACATAGCTGTTGGGAATAGGGTATGTTCTTGGGTGAAATTTGTGCATTATAAAGCCAAATTTTATATTTTATTGTTTCATGTACATTGCAATATGCTTATATCCATGTGGAATTGTTACCATTTCCATAACTTGCACAAGCCTACTAACCATAGATATTCTCCTTTTTGGACTTTCCCTTTCGCACTTTTCCTCGAGGTTTTTAAGACACGTATGTTAGGAGAGGTTTTCACACCCTTATAAAAGATGTTTCGTTCTCCTCCCCATCCAATGTAGAATCTCACAGTCCACACCCTTCAGGGCTCAATGTCCTTACCGACACTTGTTCCATTCTCCAATCGATGTGGGACTCCTCAATCTACCCCCCTTCGGGCCCAACGTCCTTGTTGGCACACTGCCTTTTGTCCACTCTCCTTCGAGGCTTAGCCTTCTCGCTGGCACAATGCTTGATGTCTGGCTCTGACACCGTTTGTAATGGTCCAAGCCCACCGCTAGCTGATATTGTCTTCTTTGGGCTTTCTCTTTCGTGCTTCCATACCCTTATAAACAATGTTTTGTTCTCCCCAACCGAGGTGGATCTCACCCTCACTTTTCTCACATTTTGCAGCAGGATGATGAGCTTACAATTCTGGATGTTAGGAACTTTAAACCAGTTCACAAGCGCAAGTTCAATTATGAGGTAATGCTTATCTACAATAATCAACGGTAACTCAACCATTGGACCATTTATGGAAACTTTAAAGGAGGATTGTGTTAACTGTGAAGAAATTTAACAAATCACCATAGAACATTGAAGAATCTGACTGCTTTGACATGTTGACCTTGGACTCACCTTAAAAATTATAAGTTCAATTTTAAGAGAGGCTGTCTTTGATCTGTTTGTGGAAGCCAATGAGTATTACAGCGACTAATACTTTCATGTGACTAATGTTCAGGCCGCACAACAACGCATGCACTTGATCAAGATAAACACAAAGAACAAGAGAGAGAAAATGCAAGGAAGAATATTGGTTAAAAATTTTATATTGATGACTTCAGGTATGTACACGAGAACGAAGAAAGTACACTTTGAAAGGAGTTTATACATGAACTATATATATGGTTTCAGTTTACTTTATATAGTTTTAATAGATATAACCACTTACTATATATATATATATAAATATCTACCAAATTAAGTTCAACCACGCAGGAGAATACAGGACTTATTTCATTGATATAGTAAGGATTTTAGTGCCTCTCCTTTCCTATTATGTCTGATCTCTGATCTATGAAAGCCTAGAATCTTCCCTCCGTGTCTTTGGGTGAAGAGGATTAATGGCGTGGTATATGGATGGTTTTTTTCTTCTTTTGCTTGCAGTCGAATGTCCAAATGGGACGAACAGTTCACCAGATTCCTTGTCGGGGTGCGGCGAACAGTGTGGAGTGGAATCCAAGGCATAATTTACTTGCTTATGGCTGGGGATGACAAGAACAAGTATCAGGCTGATGACGGCAAGTATCTGTGCATATTGATGTTTCCCACTAATCTTTTTAATTTGATGCACAGTAGGTAGTATTCAGTTTTATCTTCATTTAGTTGTTACAGGTATTTTTAAGATCTTTGGGTTGGAAAATGCATGATAAATGGATGATTAATGGATCAACTACGTCTATTTATAGCTTATTCAATTATGCTTATTCCATTTATAAGCAGAGATTTAGATACATATATATATATAGTGTTAAAACTATAAACGAAACCATAGTGTTACCAAGGCAGTCAGTGCAACCTTGTTGTGTATATACTCTTGTATATACTCTTGTATGTACTTGAATTCCTCGTATTGATTGTCAAATTTTCCCTTGAAACGATCTTAATAGAGTAATTTTAGTTTTAGTTAGTAAGGGTCGGTTTGAAATGTCTTTTTTTTTTCAAGTGTTCAAAACATTTTTAACCGCTTTGAAAAATCCATTCGAGACCTTAAAAACTAAATCGCCATCGCCAAAACAACACTACTCTTTTCGATACCATAATGGATATACAAACAAGCACGGTTCTTGGGTAAAATTGTATCTATATGTCAATTTAAGATCTTTCTATTGATGATGCTAAGAATTACAGATACTAACCCGAAACTACTAATTATAAATGGGAGCTTTTCCAAAGAACATTATGAATAAGTAGACACAAAAGTTACTAAATATGGCCAAGTTCCTAATCATGCCTACAACAAAACAAAACAATGTGCACCACAAGCAGTGTTGCTTATAATTTTCTTCAAACACAACACTATTCTTGTTGCTACATCAACACAGCTGCTTCACCAACCTGCATCATTAGAACACAAAATCTAGGGTTATTATTCAACAAAATTGATTAGAACTCAAAATTTTAATCAAGTGTACTTGGAATTAAGAGCTTCTACCTGGAAGATGCAGCAATTTTATCTCTGCAACTTCAAATTACCTATACTTTAAAGGCCACAGAGTATGAACTTGGAAGCACCAAAAACAATGCCAGAAAAGCACAGAAGAAAAATGGTGACGAAATTCCTTGACAACCAAGTAAGAGGCCCCCATTTAATCTCCACACTAGAGCTCTTCATCCTATGCCCAATTTGAGGCTCTTTGGACAAATTAAAACACGACCCTTTCATCCTCAGCTCTTGAACAATCCTTGTAAGTGCTCTGTTCTCACTCTTCTCCCTTTGCAGCTGCGCTGATGCCTTCCAATACAGCCACAATTTCAGCTGCACCACGATCACAAACACGCCCGACGTCGCCCCCATTGCCACTCCCGGAACCCACCATTTGTGGCACACATTGGGATCGGACGAAGTGAACAAGAGAGTCAGAGACAGGGCATGGAACAGGAAAAAGTAGCAGCAGAGTTGGAAGATCTGTTGCTTTAGAGACTCCAGTTTGGTCTCTCGCCGCCCGATTCGTAGGCCGAACAGATGCTCCTCTCGTTGCCAGAGCTTTAAAAGCAATAAATGGCCGGAGCTTTCGGAGATTTGTCTCAATGGGTGTTGTTCTATTACAGAGATCATAATGTTCTGATTCTCTGCTGGGATTTCGACTATGTGCGTGGCGGCGCCAGAATCTTTCGTTTCGGTCGCCATGGTAAGTCTTTTCTTTCTGGTTTGAGTTGTAATGGAAGAAAATGGGGATAGGAATTTTGTAGGAGCGGTGAAGGAAGCAGAAGCGAAACGGGAATGAACTCTCTACTTAAAAGGGTTGTTTGTTGAATAACGCCTGATGGGTGGTGATGAATGTGGTTTTCCAACGGATATATTTCTTTAGACTCCAACGGTCGAATTGTTGACTTTTTATATATTATTATATTCAGTTGAAACGGTATTTCTTTTTGTTGAGGGAGTTTTTGTTTGGGCCTTAATGTTTCGGCCCATTTTGGCCCAACTTTTTTTTTTTTTAAAAAAAAATTACTCGTTTAAATAAAATTAGAACTTTTTTTTAGATTTTAGATGATTATAACGGTCTATTAAAGAAAAATCTTAATAGGTAATTTTCTTTTTAAAAAAAACGTATTTAATTCAAACTAAAAATAGTTGAGATGCTATAAAAAAAAAAGAAATTATATATATATATATATATATATATATATATATATATATATATATATATAGCTAGTAGAATAAAAAATTAAAATACTAATATTATTATGGAACAAATATTTCTATAAAAATTAAAATACTTTAAAAAATTTAGGTATATTGATAAAATATCAAACAAATATTTCTATAAAATAAAAAAAATTTAAAATTTAGATTGAACATTTTTATAAAAAAACATACCCATATTATTAGATTAAATATACAATATAAATTATTTAATTTTAATTTACACTTATATATAATTGGTTAAATAGACATTTATTACATAAAATATTTAAAAATTAAAAATTAATATAAATATTAATAAAAGAAAATATTTGACAAAGACAAAATTTTGCAAAAGCATCACATTAAATTGTGCAGGCATGACATGGAAATTTATGTGTATGATACGGTGTTCTTAGCACAATTATTATATTGGTGTCACATCAAAATAAAAAGAAATAAATAATTAATTATCCATTGGGTATCACTCAAAAGCCAATGCCTACTCTCCACCTCACTATTCAAATCTCTATGGATTGAATTGATCTATGAGACTTTTTGATTTAACCAAATTATTTGAGTTATAAAATTTTAAATCATAAATTGAAAGATATAGAACAAAATGCATATAAATGTGAGTTAGGACCATATTGAAAAAGTTCGTATGAATCTAAGGGATTGATACTCTTTCTAGAATTCAAAATTGAGTAAGTCGAGATAGGTCCATGAGCATCAATGGCATAGCGTAATTTAAACTATGAGTATAACAAATAATCTCATGTTCTTTTAGTGAACGTAAGATAGAACACTAACCTTCTCATATTACCTTAATAGTACAGGGTAGGACACTAGTCTCCTCATGTTATCTTTATACTCAAACTAATCATTTTCTTAGGACATTATTACCATTTAATAACATTCACATATACTCATGAACGTCTTACTATAAGGGTTGGGGTTAGAAATTCTGTAACTTTTGAAAGCTCTTCTCGCCGTCTTCGTTGTAGGTGCAAGTTAATACCCATGTGAGCCGATTGAGTCAAACTTTGTTGAAATCAACATCTCAGGGTGATACTAATGCTAGAAAATCTACAATAATGAATTGAACCTTAATTCCTACTTTCTTACTTTCTTCCAGATTAATTGCTTTCTTCCATCAACTAGATCAATGGTTTAATCAGTTTCATGTATTATTTTGCCCTCTTTACTCGTACCTCCTCAAGGTCATTTTAGTAATTTTCCTATAACCATGACTTAAACGTAGAAATCTAACTATTGTTACTTTGTTTCTATGACCTCCTCAACTGACACACTCATACATACATGAGAGCTTTACTTTTACCTGAAAAATAGTAAATGTGGTATGAGTATTTAAAAATACTTAGTAAGTAGCTCAACTATTAGGGTTGGAAAATACAAATCACATGCAATCATAGTTTATATTCTAGCCCATCTTTTCGTGACTATTCTTGACTCTTCATTCTTTTATGAGTAGGGTTGAATGCATATTGCTTCTCTATGCATGGTTCACTCATAAGCATATGAACTCACTAGGTTGACTCGTATATGTAGCCCTAGGCTTGACTACGAGCTAGCACATGATCACGCTGCTAGAAACTAACGAAAAGAAAGGAACCTGTATCATATCATGATATACGCGTATATACAAACAGGTTCCACTCTTTTCATGTCATAACTTCCTTACGAGATATGCGTATGTGTAAATGGTACTTCTTTTGTTCATACCTGACTTACCAATGTCTCATAGACATAATTGTGAATATGGTATCATACATACATGGGCTAGCATACTTGATATACATGCATCACATAGCATTCATCAACATAACATAGTCATAATGTAACATATCATAACAACATAAAACAACATGTAAATATGCTACACGGTATCGTCATTCATACAACACCCAAGTCATCCAACATAGTTCCAAGGAGTTCCAACACATTTATCTTGTTGGCCTAAGCCAAAGTTACTAAATTTTATGAGTTGATGTTCGTTTGATCTTACTCATCGAGGTCTAGTTCTAAAACTGAGGCTCAGTTAAAAGTTGATTTTTTTTTTTTTTTTTTTTTTTTTTAAAGAACAACCCTTTACTTCAACCCAAAGTTGTAAGCTCTATTCAAATTGTTCGGATTATCAGCACAAAATTTTTGATTGGTCCAAAAGATTTTCTCAACCCAACAAGTGAACCTTCCTAAATTTCTATGATCTTCAATTTGACGCTTTAAAAACTATAATTGAACTGCAAATTTTACCCTAAAGCTTCCATTTTGTTGTGAACAATTAGGATGAAAAGTTGATGCATCTTTAAACCTTATAGCTATGAATTTAGTAAGGATTTTGGATAATAATAAGGGTTGATTTAGGTTAGTTGTTGGGTCATTTTCAAGATCAAACTCAATTTTGGCATGCAATTTGTGCATATATCTACCCTTTCCTTGTCCACCCCACTCATCATTTCAAATCTTATCTAATTTTTTCTTTGTCTTTCATGGGGTTTTATATATTTAAGCTATGTTCTTCATCTTTTACTTTATTTAAAAATTGCTAACAATTTATAATTAAGTATCCAATGGCTGTTACAAATTTGAAGGTCAAATCAAAACTTTGGAATTATTTTGTTGGGATTTTGTTTAAGACGTTATATTTTAAAAATTAGAAAATGTTGTATGAAAATACAATACATTAACTATTATCTGATTTTAATAAAATTACATAAGTTTTTAAATGTAAGTAATAAGTAACAAATACTATGGTAAATTATTTTAAATGAGATAATTTTATTACTAATCTAGATGGAGAAAGTGGGGAGTTCATGTTATGATTAATAGAGACTCATACCTTATGTTATCTATGATATTACGTGGGTTCTTTTTCTTTTGTAGTTCTGGCAGCATGAGCATGTGCTAGTCGAAGGCTAGACCCAGGGGTATGTATACGAGACCGCTTGGTGGGTCCATGTACACATGCATGACTCGTGTGTAGAAAAATATTACACATCCAATTTTGCTTTAGACGGAAAAGTATAGTTCAAGATCATGATGTTTTTATGAAAAGATAGGTTCACTATGATTGCTTGTGGTTGCATTTCCCAACTTCAATCAGCAGTTCACGAGAATTTGAATAAACTGAAGTTTGATGAAATTAGAGATGTAGTTCTCAGCGAAAGTATTCGCAAACGGGAAGTTGGAGATTCATGATCTCAATGTTGATCGAAGGGGAAGAAGTAAATCAAAGGACCCAAACAATGGGCGATCAAAATCAAAGAACCGGGGAAAATCTCCAAACAAATCAAACGTAAAATGTTGGAGTTGTGGAGAAAAAGGTCTCGCTTTTAGGCACGTTGTACAAAGTGTTGAAGGGACACTAGTAGATACATTTCTAAAGATAGAAAAGTAGTAATTTGATTAAGAAATTTAGTTACTACGGAGAAGGAGGAGGTGAAAGAAATTTCATCCACAGAAATCCCAACCAACTCCGTGAAGCAATGAAATCCTGTCCTATAAAATGACCTCCCTTTCAATCATTCACACCACTCCTGTCAATTTCACTTCAATTTTTGTTGTCACCAACAACTGGTATCAGAGCGATCTTGCAGCAGCAAGAATGACAGCAAAAAAACAAGTTGAGAGCTACATTCAGCCCGCCATCTCGAGGTTCGATGGTCACTATGATCATTGGGCGATGTTGATGGAAAATTTTCTCAGATCAAAGGAGTTTTTTGATATGGTGGAGACAGGTTATGAAGAGCCAAATGAAGGCGAGGTACTCTCAGCTGGTCAACAGCAACTGTTGGCAACATCGAAGTTGAAGGATCTGAAGGTCAAGAACTATTTATTTCAGTCCATTGATAGGACTATCTTGGAAACAATGCTTCAGAAGAAGACATCCAAGGAAATTTGGGATTCTATGAGGAGGAAGTATCAAGGTTCAACGAGAGTAAAGCGTGCTCAACTTCAAGCCGTTAGAAGAGACTTTGAAATTCTCCAAATGCAAAAGGGAGAACCGGTGAATAATTATATTGGCAAGGTTATGAGTCTTGCAAGTAAAATGAGGATGCATGGTGATTCAATCACGGATGTTGCAGTTGTAGAAAAGATTTTGCGATCACTAACTTCAAAGTTCGATTACATTGTATGTTCTATCGAAGAAGCAAACAATGTCGAAGAGATGCAAATAGATGAACTCCAAAGCTCCCTGTTAGTACATGAACAGAGACTCAATCGTACAAGCCAATAAAGGAGATGATAGCCTTAAAGATATCCACACCAGGTGAAACTTCAAGCCCTAGAGGTAGAGGGCAAAGAAGAGGCAGAGGTCGTGGGAGAGGCCGTTGAGAAAGAAGTGGAGATGTGAACTGCTACAGATGTGGACGCCTTGGACATTACAAAAATGAATTCTATACCAGGCTCCAAAAGGAGAAAAGAGATCAATCTAATTTTGTGGAGAGAAGAGAAGAAGAAACATTGTTAATGTCATTTCATGCTATGAAGGTTGCAGATCAAGGTGTATGGGTCGTAGACTCTGGATGCAGCAACCATATGACAAGTTGTAAGGAATTCTTCTCAACTCTGGATGAAAATTTTCATACTATGGTTTCTCTTGGCAACAATTCAACTATCCAAGTGATGGGGAAAGGAATCATAGATATCAAGACTAGAAATGGCTTTGTAGAGTCTATTTCTAATGTATTCTACATTTCTGATCTGA